CAGCAAGCGGACTCTTTACCACTAAGCCACCAGGGAAGACAAGGAGATGTTTTTCTTGTATTGATCTTTGGCTATCACTTTAGGGCAAGATGATCAACTGAAGAAAAACACAGCATTCCTATGAAAACAACCTCTAAAATCTGTCTGAATTTCCTGCTTTCAACGTCATTATATGTCTCCAGCTACCTGTGGACTGCTCCACAGGTACAAGATGTGAAAGTTAACACACCTCCTTACCTATAAAATGATGAGCAGATAATCTCAAAGAATGCTTTTCCCACAAAAACATCATCTGGACCATTCCCTGTCCTAAGCTGGTTTCCCTGTGAATGTCCCCATTTCTGAGAATAGATAAAATACATAAAGGGCCTAGTCAACAGTCACTGCAGTGCATCATCCTGCCTCTGACAGGCTGTCACAGGAAGGTTAACTGGTGGTTAGAAGAGTCTCCAGTGTGTGCTCCCAAATACTACAAATGCGTCAATATTCTCTTCTCCCAATAATTCAATACAGAACTTCAATTTGGGCCATGTTTACCCAAGTCTGTACATATCATACTACCTTTTGGAGTAAAGCATCTCCTTTCCATGTCTTTTAAATTTATTTTTTTGAAGCCCCAAGAGGTGCCTTTAATTGCAGTATTTCAAGATTCAGAGAACAAGTAGAGATGAATCCCAGCCATGCCTTCAGAAAACCTGTAATCTCCATACAAGTGCAAAATGATGCTCTTGGTGCTTGGGTTACTGGTTACCTAGTGGTGCCCATACTGGCCAAAGTTTCTTATGCAGCAAAAATCACCATGGAGCTTGAACATTAGGTTTCTGTTGCTATGTTCTAAGACCTTTTCATGTTTTTATAAAGTTGTTCCCATACGTAAATCATCTGTTATGAGACCTTAATGGCATCCCCAAATTTCACTGGTACTTCTACGGAAAGTGCTTCCTGCAATCTGCACCTTTCTACATACCACCGTTGAGAGGCTGAGTTTCTGGAATATGAGATGGCTCCCATTTGACATTAATCCCAGAGTGAACAAGCTTCATTCCTAACCCTTGTCCCAAGCTTGAGTTCACAGAGATAAATTCTCCCACACCAGCTGAATTCTGCCAAACCACCTGCCCAGACTTCAACAAAAACCTCAGCACCTCCAGAAACTGTTTCCAAGTGAATCCTTCCTTCTTCGGCCCTCTCCATCCCTAACACCACTATTTTAGTTGTACTTACTTCTCAATGACACAGTTTTAATCACAGTAATCACAGTGGTCCACCTGCCTAGGTTCAAATCTTACTTCCACCATGCCAGCTCTTTGACTTGGAAAAGTCACTGAATCTAATTTTGCAAGAAAGCAGGAAACATCAAGAAATGAAAAAACATCATTATGATGGAACTACTGATAGTATCTATTTCATATAGATGTTACAGAGGATTAAATGAGGTAATCATTGCAAAGCACAACTTGGCACAGTGCCTGGAATAGAGCAAGCTTTTCCTATACTACCTTATTACTGCTGTTGTAGTTCTTATTGTTATTCCCAACAGCTTCCTAACTGGTCTCCTGCCACAAGGTTATCACTCTTCACCAATCCATCTTCTGGGCCACTTCTAGGAGGCGGCATTTTCAAAAATATTTCTTGATTATAAAATACATATTTCATTAGAGAAAAGTCAGAAAATATAATGAGAGAAAAGTCCCCCACAGTCTGACAGAAGTGACTTTGAGGGCCCCTTATTTCCCAGCATCTGGGGAGACTTATTCCAATCATAGGAATTGGGGGTCCCTCCCTTTCTCTCTTCATGTTTGTAGATGTCTGGCCTGTCTTCCTTGTGTTTAGGGCCTCATTTGCTGTTTCTCCTCCTCCAGGGAAGGAAATATTCTTATATGTGGCTGAGGACATAGTTGATCCATAATAAATATTTTAATTGTGGAATTCAATGATACAGATATTGGGATAAGATCTCATGTTTGGTAAAGCTAATTTTTTAAACTTGAATTTTAATTCCACTGTTGATGTATTCCTTCCTAAACTCTTCTCTATTTTTTAAAAGATATTTATTTTTTTTAACTGTGCGAGGTCTTAACTGTGGCATGCAGGATCTTCAGTTGCAGCACGTGGGACCTAGTTCCCTGAGCAGGGACTGAACCCAGGCCCCTTGCATTGGGAACATGAGTCTTAGCCACTTGACCACCAGGGAAGTCCCCTCCCTATTCTTTCTTTAACCCTAGGTGAGCTGATCATTTAAATACTTTTTGCATCTGCTGTTTTCATTTTTAGCATTTTTCCATAATTTAACATTTAACAACACAAGGTGGGTTTGGTCCTAATTCTTTGTTTAGCATTAGGTAGCATACAAATATTTTATCTGTATTACATGTAAATAAAATACAAACTGGAGTAGAGGTCCTGTTACCTCTTGCCCACTGCCCCAGGCACCGTCCCGCCCCAACCCTGCCTGGCAACAGGTTGCCACCATTGCCACACTGGGTTTCTCTGACGCTGACTCTGCTGCCCAAGCTCTGGCCCACGAGCTTCAAGCTGAATCTTGTCCTATCCACTGGGGGACTCCTCTGGCCTAAGAAATGCAGGGGCGCACTGAGGGCTCAGGTCCACTGTGAGCTGGTGCCTCGGGTCCTACAAGCCTGCTCCTTAACCACGCTCATGAATTCCTCAGGCTAGCGTGGCTACCTTCTCATGTCACCCCACCTATGTGCAGTACAGCTTCCAAAGCCCGGCTCCGAAAGGTAGTTTCCTAAGCAACGCACTACCCTCCATGATGACAACCAGGCCTAGTGTTTCAGAGCACTATGATAGTTCAACCACTTCCATATAACAGCACAGGCACTCGGCTGTGATATCTACCGACTGGGCCACTGGGCATTTCATTGTTTACGTTGTCCCTTTAGGCAAACCAAGACGTCCTTAGAAGGCAAACCGTTTCTCTTAATTTTTATCCTATTGATCACCAGGACTGGGCTAGGTAAACAATAAATGACTGATGAATAAAGTAACAGCCAACACTTTTCTTCCTTCATAATATATACATTTTTACATCCTTTTCTTGCTGTTTTGCACTTGATAACAGCTTGATAACAGCTAAGCACTCTTACAGTGCTTCTTACATGCCAGACACAGTCCTAAATGGTTTACATATATTAACTAATTTAAAGCTCAGATAAACCCCGGTGACAGGGTACTACTATCCCTTTCATTTCAGGCATGAGGAAGATGGGATTAAAATTCAAGTTTAAAAAAATCAGCTTTACCAAACATAGTATTTCATCCCAATATCTGTATCACTGAGTTCCACAATTAAATATTTATTATGGATCAACTATATCCTCAGTCCTATATAAAAATATCTCCTTCCCTGGAGGAGGAGAAACAGCAAATGAGGCCCCAAACACAAGGAAGACAGGCCAGACATCTACAAACATGAAGAGAGAAAGGGAGGGACCCCCAATTCCTATGATTGGAACAAGTCTCCCCAAAAGCTGGGAAATAAGGGGCCCTCAAAGTCACATCATTATTAGACCCAACAATGAAGAGGGTTGGCCCTCTTCAGAGCACATTTGTGAGCCTTTGGCAGGACACTGCTCCTCTGTTCACCCCTGGATGGGAGCACAGAGGCCAACTTTTCCTTGTTCCTCAAGAGATTCTTTGTCACCAGCCCCACTGTCTGGTACCCCAGGAGTCTGGGATAGCTGGAGCAGGCAGGACAGCCCAGCTTCTCCTTACCCACTGGGATACAACAGCCCAACAAATCATAAAACTGACCAAACATTAGCGTATTTAAACAAGCAGAGAAGACAGCCTTCTCCTAAGATCTATTAGTGTATCATAAAATCACAACAATTCAACATGCTCATCATCAGTATCAATGTGTTTCTTGGCCAACATCTGACACATGCACATCTTTTACGGAATGCTCAGGAAGTAGCAGAGATCCACATTCTAGAGTGGCCCTGGAGTTTCCTGAGGCATCCATGACCTCCCCCGAGACAGCAAAGTCCCCCAGAGCAGCCACCCAGAGGCCCGGTGCCCTGCTTCTATTCCAGAAGGCAAGGCTCAGAAAGAGACCCAATTCCTCAGTGCTCTTATCCACACCATGGATTCAACCATCGCCTGAAATTAACTACATCCAAATGTAACTCAGGGCCTGATCTACAGTCTCTCTGCCCCTTCAACTCAGGCTGTCCAAACAGAACTCATCACTCCCCCACACGTGTGTTCTCACAGCCCACTAACACCAAGCCAGAGACCTGAGCTGTCCACACCCCCACGGCCCCCTCCTCAGGGGTTACTAACTCTGCAGCCGCTCCCCACCTACTGTTTCAGTCCAGGCCCTTGTTAGTTCTTGCCTGGCTCACAGCAATACTTTTCTTACAGGCTCCCCCATCCATCCTTCCTCCCCAGAAGCTGGAATAGTCTTTCAGAAGCAGAAGCTGACGATTGTTGCTTTAAAACCCTCAGGAGCTCATTATATATTACCAGTAAGATCAAGCCAAACTCCCAAGCGTGGCTCCCTGGGCCCTGCATGCAAGACCTGGTCCCTGCCTGCTTCTCAAGCCGCCTTTCATTCATCCCCACACAGACTCCTCCCCTTTTGCTTTCCCAGGCCAAGAGCCGCCCAAATAGGCCTTACCCTGTCACGGCCACCAAGCTGTTGCCCAAGCTATTCCCACTTCTCAGCACATCCTCCTGCTAGCTGACAGGCCTGCAGGCCTCAGCACAAGCACCACCTCCTACAGGAAGGCTTCCACGATGCCTTCACCTCAACCTGTACAACAGAGCGCCACCACTGACACACGATACCCCGCCCGCATCGTGTTCAGTCTCCTTCGATTCTTCTCCACTAGGCTGCACGCTCACTTCTGTGTCCACAGGGCCCAGTGTCGGGGCCGGCACACAGCAGATATTTCTCAAAGCAAAGTCAGAGCCCAGAAATCCAAGCCCACCAGGCCTCATCCCCGTGCCCTTCCCCGACAGCCAGGAGGACTTACCCACACAGTCACAGGTGGGGAACTCGGCCTGGGCTCTCTTGGCGGGCGTGTCCAGCAGACTCTTGGTGGGCGTGTCCAGGTACTTGAGAGGCGACTCCAGGAAGCCACTGAGGGTGGGTGTGAGTGGGTTCTCGGCCTTGGTGGGTGTGGCCTCCTGGCCTCCCTCCTCTGAATGGAAGCAGGTGGTTGAGAGCACAGTCACAGCCCCTGAAGACTCGATCTTGATTTGCTTGGGAGAGCGGGCAGCAAAAGGGCTCTCGGGGGCTGGGAGACAAGTTGGCTGGTTCTCAGCGTCCTGAATGGGCACAGACGGGGGGCCGGGAAGCCCAAAGCTATCCCCAAATTCAGCCTCAAACTGCCGGATGAGCTCTTCCAGCTTGTCGTCAGCAGGGGGAAGAGGGCCAGTGGAGCCTGGGTGCAGGGCTGCCACGGGGCTGGGAGACCTCATTTCCTGAGTAGGGGCCAGCAGGCTGTCCCCGGAGGGACTAGGTGCAAATAGCGCAAGAGAAGGTTCTGGGGGCAGGGGGACAACAGAGCCCTGTGAGGCGGGCACGGGGGCAGGTGGGTGAGCCTGCACGTCCTCAGAGGCTGGGGGCCTCAGTCCTTCCAGGACGATCTGCCGCAGAGGCGGGAAGAGGGGCTGCGCTTCTCGTGGCCTGGACTTCTTGATGTGAACGGGCTTCCGGACACCGGGCTTGACCCCAGGGCCAGCTCTGTCGGCTCCCACGGGGCCTCCAGCCGGTGCCAGGGGCTTCTTCTTCTTCTCCTTGGGTGGTCTGTCGGAAGGCCGAGGGGCAGGTGAGCTGGGTGGCGCCCACCAGCCAGGAGCAGGAAGCTCCGAGGGCGGCGGGCGGGAGGCGTCGTGGGCCTGTTCCAGGAAGAGACTGCGCTTATGGTGGAGGTGCTGCTGCAGGGCCGTCTGGGCCTTCTGGTGGGTGTCAGGCTCCGAGGACGGGGTGGGCGCCTCCCTCTGGAGAACAGGGGACGGGGAGGACGAGGGCACCTCAACCTTGACCTTGGGCTTGGTGGGCAGGGCCTCGGGCCGCTTGAATACTGACTGGATGTAATCGCTGGCACTGCCCAGTAACTGCTCCAGTTCAGCCATGGGGTCAGGGCTTGGGCGAGGCATGGGCCACGAGCTCTGGGGAGTTGCCGGTGGGGTGTCGGTGCCCCAGGCCTCAGGAAACTCTGTTCTCGGAGTTGCTGCAGGGAAGGTAGCGCCGTCAGGAGCAAAGGACGGGTGCTCTTCAGGAGGGCCCACAGGCCACGAGGGAGCCCGGAGGTAGGACTGGGGAGATCTGAAAGGGGCAGGAGGGGACAAGGCCTCGGGAAGCGGGCAAGCCTGGGAGGTGGCATGAGAAGGTTGGGGGAGCGCAGAGGAGAGTTGTGTGAGGGCCTCGATGGCAATGGCGGTCTGCAGGCTGATGTTTTTCTCCTTGGCGATGCTCAGGGCACTCTGGGACAGGGGCAGGCCCTCCAGAGGAGGTATCTGGGGGACCTCGGCGTTGAGGAGTGGCCCAGTGATGGGCGCCGGGAGGCCGGCGTCCCCAGAAGGCAGAGTCCCTGGGAGCCGAGGCCGCTCCTCGCCTCCCTCCACGACCACAGACTTGATCTTCCCCTCCAGCCACTCGAGGTAGTCAGGGCACTCCGGGCCGTCGCAGTTGCAATTGGGCGGTTTCATGCCATGCCGCGCGAGGGCCAGCGCCGCCTGCAGCGTGTCAAGGTCTTCACTGCTGGCAGAGCAGCTCTCGGGCCCGGACCTGGGTCCCCTGCTGTTGTTCCCAGCCTCACGACTCATCTCACGGTTGAAGGTTTCATAGAGCCGGGTGCTAAGGGCTCCATAAGAGGACACAGCTTCGGCCACAGCCGAAAAGGCCACCAGGTCGTGGGCATCTTCCAGGCGAGCGGTGTGAGCTGGTCCTGGGGCCGTGTCCCAGCCGGGCTTCTGGTCTGCTTGCCAAGGACTCCCGGCGCCCAGCAGGCTGGGTCCAGCAGGTTCTCTAGCACCATTGACTGGCGCCCCTGAGGCGCTTAGCTGCCGTGAGTCCCCATGGTACACTGGCCCTGAGTCCATCTGACCTGGAACAGGTCCATCAACTGGGCTGAGCTCTGAGCCTGTCTGGAGAGAGAGAGAGGAGGAAGAAAAGGGAAGAAGGTGAGCCACGACACATGAAAAGCACTGTCCTGCGCCACACCAGTGACAGGCACACCTAGCCCTGCTTCCCGCCAGCCCGCCCTGTCTCTGACAGAGCCTGAGCCCAGCGCGTCGCCCCACACCTCCTCTCCCGGCGGGCTGCACCACAGAAGCGGGTCTCTAGCAGATCCTAACGTGGACATCCAAATGTGCTCAGGTCCTTTCTGGGTCTCATACTGATCACACCGAGGAAAGGCCCCTGAAACCAAGCATCTGTCGAGGACACACGTAAAGGTCTTCGACGATGACCAAAGTGACACCAGAAGCTTTGCTTTCTGCCGGGAGGAAAAGAAAGCTAACTGAGCAGCCACATGACAACGCACCAGCAGGGCGACGTGTGCTGACGGGCAGGGGACGGGCACCTCTGACTAACAAATGCGGTCTGGACAAGGGGCCAGCGTGGCTTCTCGTGGGAAGGAATCCACCGTTCTTTTCTTGGCCTGTTACTGTCCTCACTCCAGTCCAGGCTGAGCGCAGGGGGCTGACGGGACGACCTTCCTAGCCTAGCCCCAGGCCTGAGGAAGCTCTGATCACCCCCATACAGCCCCACACCAAGCCATTCACGCCAATGACAAGCGAGTTCTTGCTGGGAAGAAGATCCAAGCCTCTTCCCAATCCCAGGAACCACCGTTGTTCGGCTGACGTCCACCCGAAGGACACCAAAGGGGGAGAACACAGAGGAAGTGGGCCAGGGTCCAGCCCAGCAAGTTAAAGGTGAGGCAACGAGGCAGAAGTGGGCTCGCGTGAGTTCACCCCACTGGAAGGGAAAGCTCTTCCTTGCAGCAGAATGCAAACAAAACAGAGAAGGATACGGAAACTCATCAGTGGAGGCTACGAATAGCAGATGAAAGCTTGGCAAAACAACTCTCTAAAAATGACTTAGTTACAATAGCAACTTAGAAATCTGGCAGACACCACTTTTACCAAATGATCAAAGTTACCACCATGTGATAAACCAACATCATGTGCCTCTTGACATGCTACATTGAGGAGGAGGATATAATACTCACACAGACCTGCAACCAGAACATATAACCTAAACTTAATCATGCGGAAACATCAGATGAATTGAGACTAAAGGGCAGGCTAGAAAGCATCTGGGTTGTTCTCTCCAAAAATTTCAAAGACAAGAAAAGCAAACACCTCTCCCAGCTGACATGAGACTAAAAGACAGGACAGCAAAATGCATGATCATGGACTGGGGAAACACGGCTATGAAGTACCTGACTGAGACACCGGATGAAATTTCAACATGGATGTGGATAAGAGCATGTCATAGCAATCTCTGTGTTCTTGACAAGATGATTATACTATGATTGTATAAAAGAATGCCCTTGTCCTTAGAACACATACACACTGAAGTACTTAGGGACGAACGGTATCTCCAACTTAATCTCAAATGGCTCAGTCAAAAATTAAATGCGTATATTAAAATATCACACACAGACAAAATGATAAAGCAAGTAAGGTAAAATGTAAACAATCTGGGTATATGGGAGCCCCAAGTACTCTTCTTTAATCTCTTCTGTAAGTTTTAAAATTCTATCAAAATAAAAAGTTAAACAAATTAGTCCCCCAGGTAGAACATAAAGTATATTGAGCAGATGTTAAATGATACGAGTCCTTAGATGGTCAAACAGAGCCATCATGGGCTCCAAGGCGGCGGTGGGAAGCTGGGATTGGGACTGGCCTTTGGGGGGTAAGCAGAAGACCCAGCCTAACGGTTCCCACCTCATTCTCGTCATTTGCCCAGTTCTGGCCACAAGGGACCTTCATGCTTTTCTAATGTGCTTTTCTGAGCTTTGCACATGCAGTTCTAATTCCCAGCCTCTCTGAGGTCTCTTTGGCTTCTTCCTCAAGCATCAGCCCGACGTCACCTCCTCTTTGACCTAGCAAAGACTGGCCAGTAAGTGCTCCCTTCCTGATGTTCCCCCAGTAACTTATACATGCTTCTATTAGTACTTACCACACACCAAGTAGCTGCCTCCCCCAACTAGATGGTAGGTAGTTCCTTCAAGATAAGAGCTAAGTCTTAATAATGTCTGTGCCCCCCGCCTAGTCCACCATACGCGCCCATAGGCCATGGAATACATCAACCTTTCCCTGACCCTGGGGGAAGACAATCTTTCAGAACTAGGAACTAGGAACAAATACCTTTCCTCTAGAAATGCAGCTGAGCACCCAGTTCTCCCCTCCTTCCTACTTTAAACCCTACACTAATGGGGTTAACAGAAGCAGAGATATTAAGAAGAGGTGGCAGGAATACACAGAAGAACTGTACAAAAAAGATCTTCGCGACCTGGATAATCGCGATGGTGTGATCACTCACCTAGAGCCAGACACCCTGGAATGTGAAATCAAATGGTCCTTAGGAAGCATCACTACGAACAAAGCTAGTGGAGGTGATGGAATTCCAGTTGAGCTATTTCAAATCCTGAAACATGATGCTGTGAAAGTGCTGCACTCAATATGCCAGCAAATTTGGAAAACTCAGCAGTGGCCACAGGACTGGAAAAGGTCAGTTTTCATTTCCAATCCCAAAGAAAGGCAATGCCAAAGAATGCTCAAACTACCACACAATTGCACTCAT